ATGATGTTGGATTAAACATTGATTTCTTGGATATGACATCAAGAGCACAGACAACAAAAGCAAAAATAGCAAATTGGACTTTATCAAAATTAAAACTTTGTGCATTGAAGGATACTATCAAAAGAGTAAAAAGACAACCCACAGAATGGAAGAAAATATTTACAAGTCACATATCTAATATCCAGAATATGTAGAGAACTCCTAAAACAACAACAACAAAAAATAATATACCCAATTAAAAATAGGCAAAGTATTTGAACAGACTTTTCTCAGAGAGCATATGTAAATGGCCAATAAGCAGATGAAAAGATATTCAATAGCACTAATCATTAGGGAAATGCAAGTCAAAACCACACTCATTAGGATGTCTACTATCAAAAAGCAGAAAACAAGTCCACATGGATGTGGAGAAATTAGAATCCTTGTGCACTGCTGGTGAGAATGTAAAATGGTGTGGTTGCTGTGGCATTTCTTCAAAACCTTAAACATAGAATTACCATTTGATTCAGCAGTTCCACTCCTGGGTATATACACCAAAGAACTGAAAGCAAAAACCGAGGTTTACAGCAGCATCATTCACAGTAGCCAAAGGTGGAAACAACCTTTGACATTCAACAACAGATGAATGGATGAATGGAAAGTGTAATACATACATACAATGGAGTATTATTTGGCTTTAAAAGGGTGAAATTCTGATACATGCTACAACATGGGTGAAATTTAAAAACGTTATGCTAAGTAAATTAAGCCAGACATGAAAAGATAAGTACTATATGATTCCACTTATATGAGATACTTTGAGTAGCCAAATTTATAGACATAAAATACAGAACAGTGGTTACCAAGGGCTGGGGGAGTGAGGAATGGGCAATTACTGATTTATGGGTATAGAGTTGCAGTGTAAGATAATGAAAAAGTTCTGGAGTTAGACATGGTTATGGTTGCACAATGATGTGAATGTGCTTAATGCCACTGTAGTGTATAATTAAAAATTATTAAAATAGTAATTTTTATGTTAAATGGTTTTATGTTATCTATATTTTACCACCAAAAAGAAAAACAAAAATCCCTCACTACTCTGCAAACTTTTTAACTTTACCAATATGTCATGACTATGTTCCTGGTCAATATATATAAATCTAATTCATCCCTTTTAATAACTGTACGATATATCATAGGAATGGCATGCTATACTATATTTAACTACTCCCATATTGACAAACATTTGCTATTATAAATAATGCTGCAGTCAAAATTTTTAGGTTCTTATGATGTACTAGTTTTGTATACTGGAGTCTCCAAACTGTGATTACTGGGCAAAGTAAATAGTATATATAGATCTTTCTTCAATCTACTTTTAATTTTTGTTTGCACATAAACAAAAAAAGCAGGAAGGCAGATGTTCTGCAGTAGTTAGGTTATGGACTTGGCTGCATAAAACAAAAATCTCCAATAGCTATGACTTGTATAGGATATAATTTAATCCCTCTTCTACATAACAGTCTGAATGAAGATGCGCATTCCAAAACTGGTATGGATACTACTGCATGAGATTATCCAAGAAGCCAGCCTCTTTTTATCCTCTTACTCCACCATTCATTTTCATAGTCCAAGATGGCTCACTGCCATGTCCTCATTCCAGTCAACAGGAGAGGTGAGAAGATGGGCACACCCATTTTCTTTCAGGACTCCACCTAAAAGGAAACTGTACCACTTCCACTCATAGCTTATTGTCTTGATATTAGTCATGTAACCCATCCTAGTTAAAAGGGAGGCTGGGAAAACTCATACTCATTCTGAGTGGCCATGTGCCCAATTAGTACCATAGTGGCCAAGGAAAGATTGGATAATAAGCAATTCTATGGCAAGATCTTCCAAAAGAATAGTCAATTATGTCAGCTATATTTATAAAATAAACCATTTTCCATTGAATTAAAATTTCATCCTTGTGTTTATTAAGACCCACAAATAATTGGATATTTCTAGACACCAATCTGCTCCAATATTATATTAAAATAGCTTTATAATAGTTGTTAGCTGTTCTTACTATGTCAATTTATAGTTATTGACATACTAGAAATTTATCTTTTGTTAACTGTTTGATTTAAGCTATTTGGTTTAAGTTATTTTTACAGATCAAGTTAAAGACGGTTAAACTTATTTTGTGAAAACTGGCACTTGGATATTATAATTTGAGGCAGAGATAATTTTCTTACTTCCAATTTTTCAATGTTAAGAAGCATCACTCTTGATGGGCACTTGTGTTGCTTCCATATCTTGGCTATTATAAATAGTGCTGCAGTGAATGTAGGGGTGCATATATCTTTTTGAATTAGTGTTTTGGGTTGTTGTTTTTTTTTTTTTTTTGGATAAATACCCAGTAGTGGAATTTAAAGAAGATGTGGTACTTCTATACAATGGAATATTACTCAGCCATAAACAATAATGAAATCTTACCATTTACAACAAAATGGATGGACCTAGAGAACATTATGCTAAGTAAAATAAGTCAGATAGAGAAAGACAAATGCCATATGATCTTATTTATGTGTGGAATCTGAAAAACAAAATAAATGAACAAACAGAAACAGACTTGTAGATTCAGAGAACAAATTAATGATTGCTAGATGGGAGGAGGGTAGGGGGACTGGGTGAAAATGGCGAAAGGGTTAAGAGGTACAAACTGGTAATTAACAATAGTCATGGGGTTGTAAAGTACAGCATAAGGAATACAGTCGACAATATTGTAATAACTATGTATGGAGCCAGGTGGGTACTAATCGTAAATTATATAAATGTCTATGCACTGTGCTGTTCACCTAAAACTAATATAAAATACTATTGAATGTCAACTATCATTGAAAAACAAAAATAATAATAAAAAAGGAGCGTCATTTTTCCCATAAGCGGTCTGAGGTGACCTCCGAAAATGGTTCACTGTCACTTGACCCAGAATATCCTGCAACATCATGCAAATCAAGAGGTTCAAATCTTCATGTTTACTGTAAGAACAGTTGTGAAACTTCCCAGGCAATCAAGGGTATGCATATCCAAGAACTATATGAAGGATATCACTTTACAGAAGCAATGTATGCCATTCCATGGTTACAATGGTGGAGTTGGTAGGTATACTCAGGCCAAACAGTGGGGCTGGCCACAGGGTTTGTGGCTCAAAAAAGTGCTGAATTTTCACTGCACGTTCTTGAAAATGCAGAGAGTAAAGCTGAACTTAAAGGTTTAGATGTAGACTCTCTAGTCACTGAGAACATCCAGGTGAACAAAGCTCCCAAGATGAGGCACAGAACTTACAAAGCTCATGGGCGAATTAACCCCTACATGAGCTCTCCCTGCCACACTGAGATGATCCCTACTGAAAAAGAGAAGATTGTTCCTAAACCAGAAGAGGAGCTTGCACAGAAGAAAAAGATATCCCAGAAGAAAATGAAGAAACAAAAACTTATGGCCCAGGAGTAAATTCTGTATCAAAAAAACGTTAATAAAATTAAAAAGCAAAAATTAATTAATTAATTGATTGATTAATTAAAGAAAGAAAGAAAGAACCTCTCTACCCGCCAGTAACTACAACTAACGGGTCACACATTTGTTTCATCTTCACAGCCTCAGAGGAAAAGAAAACTTTACTTAAGGGAAAGCTTGAAAATGTCAGGGATCTAATGAATAGGAACAGAATCTTCCAGGGTAACAGACATCCAGGACTCCATCTTATCATTCATTCAAAGATGAATATGTGTGAGCAAATGCCATGATGAGGCCTCGTGGTTAAATAAATTCCCAAGTTGATAGGAAATTAAAAAGTTGCTCTCCCAGCTCTGGCTCTGGCATATTATCCATCTGAAGTATGTGGCTCCATTAGCCTTTTAACTAACAGCTGCACCCCTCTACAATTATCAACTTCCACGGGGCCTCATTCACTCCTTTATAGAGGAAAAAATCATTCAGGTTTATGCCTTACCCTCAAAAGTACCTTCCTTTGACTTCATAGAAAAAAAAAGCTATTCGATCAAAAGAAACTACACTTGGGATCCCCTCCCCTTCCACCCTGCTGGTGTATAACCTTTGCCTTTCTCTAAAACCTAAAATACAGCATCTCTTCCAGGAAGACTTTCTTGGTTTCCAGCGCCCTCAACAATGGATAAGTTGGAAGGCATCTTAGAGATCTGGAAGGGAGGTTCTCCACCACCTCTGCCAGCACTCCTCCCCAGATTCTGGTCAGTAGGTTTGAGATGCAGCCTTAGCTCTTGCATTCTTTCAACTTCCACAGGGGATTATGAGCAAAAAATAGGATGGGAAACTATTCAACTAGTCCAGCCCTTAACTTACAGATGAGAGCATTGAGACCACATGATGCTACAAAGAATATCATGCATTCCTTAGTAGAAAGCAGCTCTTTCAAGGCAGAGACTTTATTTCCTCTGTGGCTCTAACTCCAGCACCTAGAACTATGCCTATCTGGCATGTGGCAGAGAAGGAAGGAAGGAAGGAAGGAAGGAAGGAAGGAAGGAAGGAAGGAAGGAAGCATTTTTCTCAGGTTATATGGAAGATTTGTAAAAGTGACCATGTACTGGGTCACAAAGCAAATCTCAACAAATAATGAAAATTCAACATTTATAGATCTAATCACATGTAGTAAAAGGACAAAAGTATGTTAAGACAATAGTTTCCCTGACAAAGGCCAGGAGAGACAGGGAGGGAGAGAAGGGGATGAGTGAAATGAAGTTTTACTTCTGCCTAAAATATTTTATTTGAGAGGAGAGAGGAGATAGGAAGGAAGGAAGGAAGGAAGGGAGGACGGAAGGAAGGACGGAAGGAAGGACGGAAGGAAGGACGGAAGGAAGGACGGACGGGAGAGAGAGGGAAGGAGCAAGGGAGCGAGGGAGGAACCCTTGTTAACACCCAGGTTAAGCCACAAAACTGGATTCTGGTCCAGGATATGACAGTCTTCCTTAAGAATTCTGAGTCCTCCCTGCCTCCCAGGCTCTGTAATTGCTTCGTATTATAGATCACAGTCGGTCACAGTCCGCTCCGGTGCTCAGTGTCGGGACCCTGCTGGAGCATACACTTTAGGGAGTGTCTAGGGGCCCGGGAATACCTCAGCTGAAGGTCGGGGATAAGGAAGAAAGTGAGGACTTTGAGAAAGGAGGCCCAGCCCTCAGGGGCGGAGACGGGCGGGCCGGGGAGGGCCGGCTAGTGGCTCAGCCCAGGCGGGCGGGGCGCTCGCTCGCACCTGCTCTGTGGCGGCGGCACTCGGACGGCTAGTGGCCAGCGGACGGCTCGGAGGCGCTCAGCGCAGGTGAGATGTACTCTGTGGGCAGGGGCCTCGGACGCAGAGGGGACTTGAACCGAGAGAGGGATGGGACAGGGACGGGGCCCAGACGGGACAGGAGAGGGAGGAGCTGGAGGACTCAGGGTTGGGGAAGCAACCACCGTGCCCGCGACCCTCTGTCCGAACGCCTGCGACCTAGAATCAATTTGCTGCATCCATGGCCAGTTGGGTCGCCCATGTTGCTGGGTGAGGGAAGCTTTGAAGTGTGAAGCCCCTCCTTTCCATTCCACCCTGAGGATTAGAGGACAACCAGGCGGTGATGGCTCGTGTCTGGCCCAGTACAGCTTTCAGTGGGCTCCACGTGGCTGTGGGCACTTACAGTCCTACTGTCTCTCATTGTTAGTTCCCATCCACAAATGCACCAACCAGATGCTGACTTTAGGCCAAGAAGCTGGAATCTAATAGTAAGAGGAGAATGGTTGATTAAATCCCCGGAGCCCTTATTCCCCTTCCGCTAATAGGCCAGGATGTCAGAAGCTAAGGGGTGAGGTTAGCAATGGTTGGAGAGGTTTATGTGAGACCTAAAAATAGGTTTAGGTGACCCTGTCTGAATCCAGAGAGATAACCTCTGGAGATAGGACCCAGCCCTAGATGTAAGAAAGATTTGTGTTTTAGCAAAGGAAACCCATGGCATTATGAAATAGATCGTGTGAAAATTTAGGCAGGCACCTCTCCTAAAATTCACAGAAATGCCCATTTCCTTCACTTTCTCTTCTGCCATGTTTCTGTGTCTGCCATTGCTGCCCTCATCTCTTCTCATTTTCCCCACCCACTGCTCTGTCTGGCTCATAAAATGGCTTAAGAATTTTATCTGTATTTTTGCAATCATTTTAATAGGTAGTATGACTTAGTGTTCATAAGAAACACGTGCTGTTTTTAACCAGGTATGCAACAGTGTAGGGGAGAATCATGATACACTGTGAAATATGGAGCCAGTCCCACTTCAGACTGAGTTCTTCGTGACTGAGCATTTGTTGGCTTCATAATAATGTAATTACTCTGTTCCTAGAGTTTCTAGAAAAGATATGGAATTGATGTGAAGGCTTTATTGAATATGGTCCTTTAGTTTCACAAGGGGAGAGTGCCAGACATAAGCAGAGTGAGGCGTGATTCTGGTGGTGCACTATTTGTTCTGGTATTTTGGGAACTAAGCATTCAATTCCCTTTTTAAAGAGCTTTGATTTCCTCTCACTTCTTCCATGGAAGGTGGAAACAGTACCATCACTTATTTATTTCATACTTTGTGATTTTCCTTATATCCTGTGGATTCTTCCCTCACCCATTTGGTGGCTATTGGTTGAGATGGCCTAGGTGAAGCTATTGAATCTCACATTTGGCACCAGTTTTTCTATTTGGTGTCTTCCCCAATATTCTTGGTTATGTCTCTTGCCTAATCTTAACAAATAGCACTTTGAGATTGGATTTGGCAAGCGCTGGGGGAGAGAGGGAGCAAAGAGAAAAAAAAAAGACTTCTGCTTTCTTATCTTCCCACCATGTTCAAGTTAACATCGGCTTAATTGGTCAAAGTACAGGTGTTGCCTATGTTGGCTATAATCAAAGGATTGTCTCTTTTCCTCATACACATCTGCTGGTTGAAATGGATAAGGGCAGTTTTACCATGTGTAGAGCCACTCCCATAGCCAAAGTTCCTGTTATTGCAAAACTTTTTATAATTGTGGGTACAAGAACTAAAGTCACTACTGTGTCATCAGTTAATGAGTGCATATATAGACAGAGTTCATATCTATACTTGTTTCTATAGACAGGTCATAAAACAAAAACTAGATTATTCACAATACTGCACAATACTGAATATGAACAATTAGAGGCACAGGTAAGTGCTGTAATCTGCACACTTCACTTGAACTCAGCTTCCCTTTTAACTGCCCACCCTCTACCTCAAATATTTACTGGGGCTAGAAACAAACAGAGATTATTTGAATTTTAGCTGTTTTTGTTTCTCTTGTCTGTTCTCTTGTGTAAAAATAAAATGAGTCAAAAAGAGAAGGAAACATAAAAGATCTATCAGCCTTTTGTGTTGAGTGAAGAATTAAACTGAAAATATCAAAGCATGCTCATATATTTCCCTTGCAGGATTTAGATATTGTAAGCCTTTATCAATATCTTGCTGGTATTAGATCATAAGGGAACTTTACAGAGTGCAAGATGATTTCTGTAAGCAGCACCCTGAGGGAAGAGTAATAGCCTATTTCATAAATGTGGAAACTGAAACTTAGAGATACTGAGCATCTGGCCTGGTCTTACCCATCTGTTAAATGGCAGCCAGGACTCAAACCAGAACTTCTTCCATTATACCACAGCTTTCACCTGAGTGGTTCTGTTTGCTTTAATTTCAGGATGAGGAGTTATGATTTGTTTTTCCTGCACATTTCTTTAATATATTCTCTGACTTGAACTCTTAGAATCTAAATTTAGAGACATTCTTGTTTGGTATATTTCATGCCCACCTTTGTTCAATGTAATCACAAAAATATTTATATTTTAGAGCTGAGGATAGCCTTAAAAATTATCCAAAGAAGAAAAGTGGATTCAAGAAAAATTAAGCAAGTACCCTATGTTGCTTCCCCAAATCTACTTTGCTGAAGAATTACAGCTAAAACCTAGGTCTCCCAATGTTCAGACTACTGCTCCTTCAGGCATGTGATCCCTTGAGGATTTCCTACATACATAAAGTTTGGTTCGACTGATTCTATTGCTTTGGGGTCTGTGACAGCAAACCATAGCCTCCCTGAATCCTATAGATTCTTCCACTCTATTCCATGTTCCATGAGGGAAAGGGCCTTATTTGTATGGCCCATTGTGTTATTCTTAGCACAGTACCCATAGTAGACACTCAATGGAATATATTCAGTATCTATCAAACAAATATTTGAACAAGTGTGAGATGTCACTTGGACTTCATTCAGCTACAGTAACAGAAAACTCTACTCCAGTGACTTAATAAGTAAGGAGTTTGTTTTTCTCAAAAAACTAGATGTCTGGAAGTGAGAAGTCCAGGCTCCTTCTGTCTCCCTGCACCACCATCCTTAGCATGCAGCTTTGGTCCTCATTGAAAGACGACCATCTTTTCTGTGCCTATCAAGAGGGCAGAAGGCATATACCAGCTGAGTCTGTCCTTTTTTAAATAATAATATCTTTCCTGAAAGCCCCACCCAGGCAACTTCTTTTATCTTATTCATATAAGAACTATGTCACATAACCACTCCTAACTATAAGGGAGCATTAGAGAATTTAGTGTTTTAGTTGGATACATTGCCAATACAACAAAATAAGGATTTTGTTAATAAGGAGGAAAGGGAGGGTGGATGTTGATTGGGTAGACAACTAGCAGAGTCTACCCTAGTATATTTGAGGAGTCATTGCCCCTTTGTCCCTACATAGGTTGTGGAGTTATTTATTTGTTTGTTTTATTCTTTGGTTTACTAAAAAAGCAATAGATAATGCTGTGGATCTAGGGGACCTTTTTAAAATCATAGAATCCGAGGCCCTCCTCAAGAAATGCTGATAATTTAGGCCTGAGATGGGTCTATAAATCTGAATAATTAACTGGCACTCTGGGTAATTGAAATGTGGGTGGTTGCAGGATTACAGCTTGAAAAACACTGAATTTGGGGTGGTTTAGCAGGGGCACCTTCATTTTATTTCCCTATCACTTCCTTTGAGGATATCACTTTCTTTTTTAATTTTCCATTTTGGTCAACATAATAAATGTATAGTCTTAAAAGTCATAAGTTCTAAGGTCTTTTCTGGAGTCTGTATTGAGCTGCCTCTCAGAGGCAACTACGTTCAATGCTTTGGGCTGGTTTTTTTTTGTTGTTTATTTGTTTTCATTTTTATCACCATATTCCCAAATAATGCTACTAGCTATTTCTTTTTCTTTTCCCAGTTCTAGGTAATACTTATTGACTTTCTATTTTGAAGGAGGAGAATTTTGCTCCCTCATACACCTATTATTTTATCTCACATTCACTTTCCTTTCTGGAAAGGTCCCAATAGTTACATCCTAATTTTTTATGACATAGCAATGTTTAGTGTTTACATTATTATGACTACGCAAATATTATTCACAACTAAGCCTTGTGATAAACCATGATTTTTACACTTCCTTTCTTGTACAACCTTTTTCTATCCCCTGGAGTTAGTATATTGCTTTATCTTCTTCAACTGCTTAGTTTTTTTGAGTACTCATTATCAATTCTTGCTCAAACTTTGACAGGATGATAAAATTCCTCTCAATAGAGTTAAACATCAAGTAAATAGCCAATTTGATTTTTGTCTTCTCGGAAAAATCCCTGCTCCACCTTCCATATCCCCCATTCTCAGGGACTGATTGTTCTCTGACCCCCTTGTGATTCTGGGAGCTTCTAGGCTACCACCCTGTGAATTGTACTAGATTCTCATTTCTTGGATTCCATCCCTTCTCATTCTCTGGTTTTGCTGGAGCATAGCTTCCTGAGAAACGGCACGTGGAGGCAGAGGCAGAGGCAGATTTATCCCAGAGCTGAAGAAGCTCATGGGCCCCTGTAAGGGCTGCAAACTGTCAGGTGGGGAAGAAAAGCCAGGTTGCCACTGAGAAGCATTTCTGGTAAATTTTCTAAAGACATTTTAAAAGAAAGAGCCCTAAACCTCCATGATTCCAATTTGTTATGATTACTTTTCTCAGTCTAAATAAATATTCATTTTCATATCCAGTTTTGTATTTGTAATTTTATGATTTTTTTTCTTAAAGACAGCTCTCAAAATTATATAAAATTCAAGTGCCACAAGACTTGATTGCTTTTTGAGATCTCGTACATTCAAGATGTCATTTTTCTTCCTTCGCATTTAATTGATCATTTGGCTGAGTAGAAGATATTAACTGGAAATAATTTCCTCTCACAATTTTGAAAGTATTGCTCCATTTTCATCTACCTTCTTAGAGTGCTGTTGAAAAGCTGATGCCATTC